TTTTTTTTTTTTTTAATTTTTTTTTTTCAACGTTTATTTATTTTTGGGACAGAGAGAGACAGAGCATGAACGGGGAGGGGCAGAGAGAGAGGGAGACACAGAATCGGAAACAGGCTCCAGGCTCTGAGCCATCAGCCCAGAGCCCGACGCGGGGCTCGAACTCACGGACCGCGAGATCGTGACCTGGCTTGAAGTCGGACGCTTAACCGACTGTGCCACCCAGGCGCCCCTATTCCTAAGCTTAACACAAAAATGCTAGTACTTTTGATTTACTTGACTGGCACACAATAATGGGCTTCATCATTTTTACATATTCTAAGTGTGCGATAAAAGATATCCACTAAGAAAGTGATTGTATGTGTATTCTCAGTGGGATGTAATTATTTATATGAAACCGTTTTTGATCAGTATTAAAAGTCTGGTTCTTTTTGTGCCATGTAGCCAAAGAAGGATTCATCTCATCTACTAGGACCTTTGGTTCAATTCATGCCCTTGCTTAACTTTTAAAATATCATTTAAATAGAACTGTGACTTCCCCAAAGATTGTAACTGACTCTATTGTTTGGTTGGATTTTGCATTTCTTTGCTAAATCTGTAGATTTAATAGATTTAGACAATCTCTTATCTCCCAGTCTTAAGCAAAGGGCACTTGAAGTGATTTGGATATATACTATCTATACTGTTTTCGTTTGTTTTCTAGTTGGTAAGATTATAACTTTTTTAGATTGTTATTTTTATAAATTGTTTTAGGGCATAGGACAAAATAGTTACCTCCCCAACTAATTTTTTTGACACCAGCATACCCTGGTATCAAAATATAGCCCTGTCTCACTTGTGAAAATAGATAGATACCCTAAAATTCTAAATAGGATATTGATTTTATGAGCCCATTAAGAGGATTTATCCAAAGAACAGAGTGGATCAACAGATCAGTTTTTGTGATTAACTCATATTACATGAAAAAAAAAAAAGACCTGTAATCATGTTTAAGAATATCAGAGAAAGCATTTGATCAAACTTAATAAGCTTTCCTACTTAAAACAACTCTTAAGAGTCCTGGAATAGAGATTTTCTTCACTTGGTAAAAGACATTCACTAGAAGTCCATAATGTCACTCCTGTGGTGAAAATAAAACATACTTCCAGTAATTTGGATGACAAGGATGCCTACTGTCATTGCCACAACTCTCCACTGTAGATAACTGACCAGATCAGCCGAATGAGAGATTTGGTTGGGTACTAAAAAATTAAATGAAATACTTTTTGTAGGTTTTGTGAAGAATTAAAGGAAGTCAGATTTTCTTTTGTAAGGATTTTTAAATAATTGATTCTTGATTTTCATTCAGTATACACTACCACTGGAACTGATAAACCAACAGAACCTGACAGAATGGATAGAAATTTTAAAGACTGTTGTGAACAGAGATGTACCTAATGTAAGTAAGTCTCCTTGTGTTCTTAACATTACTAAAATACTGAAGTATCTTTTGAAAATTTTAACTGATCTTTCCTGTAAATTTTTTAAGAGTTTATATAATTCATAATACAAATTATTCTAGATGGAGAGACCACTTTGTTTACATATGTGCATATACTAAGTAAAAAATTATAAAGGGTTATTTCATATATTATTATTTAGGTACGTATATATATCTCTTTATCTTTATTCTTCTGTTTCTTTTCAGTTTTTATTTATTAATATTAAAAATCTTATTTAGGTTTTATTTTATTTAACTAAACTCTACACCCAGAGGTGGGGGTCAGACTCACGACTTTAAGATCAAGAGTTACACGCTGTTCATCACCTCACATAGTTACAAAATTCTTTTCTTATGATAAGAATTTTAAAGATCTACTCTCTTAGCGACCTTCAAGTATACAGTACAGTATTGTTAACTATAGTCAGTATGTGGAACATTACATATCTAGAACTTCTTTATCTTATAATTGACAGTTTATATTTTTTGACTACCTTCTTAAATTTACGATGGTAATCATTTCACAATATATGCGTATATCAAATCATTGTGTTATACATGTTAAGTTAATACAATGTTATATATTAACTATGTATAATTTTAAAAGACACTCATTGTTAGATTTTAACCTATTAATTTATCAGACACTTATGAACCAGGGGAAGAATTTGGCAAATTAGTAAAACTTTGTAGTTAGTTACATTACTTGTTTTTTTAAATAACAACTTTATAGAGATAAAGCCCACAGGCCGTAAAATTCACCTTTTCAAAGTATACGATTCAGTGATTTTTAGTACAGAAAGAATTGTCCAGCTGTGTTTTTAATTTAATCACAATTTTAAAAATAACAGCTATATTTCTTTATAATCTAGTTCTCTAGAGAGGTAGGGGAATTCATAAGTCCCAAATACATAAAATGTTTTTAGTGTTCTTACATACCTTATTTAATCCTCAAAAAATCCCTCTGAATTTATTTTTAAAAAATTTTTTTAATGTTTATTTTTGAGAGAGAGAGAGAGCGCACGCATGAACGGAAGAGGGGCAGAGAGAGAGAGAGAGAGAGAGAGACACAGAATCCGAAGCAGACTCCAGGCTCTGAGCTGTCAGCACTGAGCCCGATGCGGGGCTTGAACTCAACTGTGAGATCATGACCTGAGCCGAAGTAGCACACTTAACCGACTGAGCCACCCAGGCGCCCCTCTGGATTTATTTTAAATAGAGACCTAGAAGGGTTATGTAATTTATCCAAAATAATTTTATTAGTGGCATAAGTGAGACCGACCTCGTGTTCTGTGGTTTATCGCTTAAATTTTTATCTTAAAGAAAAAAACTGTGTAGAAGAAATAAATAGGACATTTCTCCCACTCTGCAGGAAACTGTACACATTTAATAGGTACAACATATAATTTTGTTTATTTATTTTGAGAGGGAGAGAGCATGGGCAGAGAGATTGAGGGAGAGAGAGAATCCCAAGCAGGCTTCACGCTATCAGTGCAGAGCCTGAAGCAGGGCTCAGTCTCACAAACCATGAGATCATAATCTGAGCCTAAATGAGTTAGATGCTTAACCCCTTGAGCCACCCAGGCACCCCTATAATTTTTACTTTTTATTTAATTTTTCATTTGGATTTTAGAAAGCATGAGAGGAGGAGAGAGAAAGAGAATGAATCTTAAGCAGGCTCCACACTGAGCGTGGAGCCCGACATGGCGCTTGATCCCACAACCCTGGGATCAAGACCTAAGCTGAAATCCAAGAGTCAGTTACTCAACCCACTGAGCCACCCAGGAGCCCCACAAAATATAATTTTAAAATTTTCATTTATATACTCTGTACTTTTTGGGTATAATTTATAAATATGCACATACTATAAATAAATATCCCAGTGAGTTAGCAGTTATATGTATCCATGTAATCACCTAAAATATTTGCTGGTAGTTAGCTTTAGTCATTCCTACCATAACCATTCTTATTTATGGCACCATAGATTAGTTTTGCCTGTACTAGAACTTAATAAAAGTAATTATTTGTATTTACCTTCTTTTGCATAATGTATTTATGGTATGTATTCATGTTGTGTGGTAATAGTTTGTTTCTTATGTATTCATGTTGTATTGTAGTAGTTTGTTCTTTTTTATTACCAAGTAATATTTTGTTGTGTGGATATACTACAATTACGTATTCATTCACAAGTTGAGGGACATCTGGGTGGTTTCAGGATTTTAGTAGTACAAATGAAGCTGCTATGAATGTGTTTACAGAAATCTTATAATCACAAATTTTCATTTTTCTTGAGTAAATAGTCTCTAAGACTACCTCCAATCTCTAGACTATTTACAACTGAATAACCATGAGTAACACTGTTCTTACTTTAGAAACATTTCATGTTACCTTTTAGAGAACTTTACCCAAATTTGACTTCAGAAAACTGAAAATTGAGGGGAACATGGGTGGCTCAGTCAGTTAAGCGTCCGACTCTTGATTTCAGCTCAAGTCATGATATTATGGTTTGTGAGTTAGAGCCCCACCCCAGGCCCGTTCTGACATCATGCAACCTGCTTGGGATTCTCTCTCTCCATTTCTCTCTCTGCCGCTCTCTCATTCTCTCAAAATAAATAAATAAACTAAAAGAAAAAAGAAAAAAAAAAGACTTGTTTAAAAAAAAATTTATCTCGTTATTTATTTATTTTTAAATAAATATCTCTTTAAAGGAAACACTTCAAGTTGAAGAAGATGATAGACCTGAGTTACCATGGTGGAAATGTAAGAAGTGGGCTTTACATATCTTAGCAAGGCTTTTTGAAAGGTAAGTTTCTCTCAGTATATGATGATTTAAGTTTATTTTTTCAGGCACTTGGTTTTATCAAGTGTTGATATATAAAGCAATATAGAGAAACAGTGTGGGGGCACCTGGGTGGCTCAGTCAGTTTAGCATCTGACTCTTGATTTCAGCTCAGTTGGTGGGATCAAGCCCTGCTCACAGTTGATGGGATCTCTATCTCACCGCTCACAGTTGGTGGGATCAAGCCCTGCTTTGGGCTCCATGCTGACAGCAGGGAGCCTGCTTGGGATTCTCTCCCTTTTTCCGCCTACCCCTGCATGCGCACATGCTCTCTCTCCCTCCCTCTCAAACATTAAAAAAAAAAAGAAAGAAAGAAACTGGGTGTTTTAATAATGTTTTTTTAGATATGGAAGCCCTGGCAATGTTTCCAAGGAGTATAATGAATTTGCTGAAGTATTTCTGAAGGCATTTGCAGTTGGTGTCCAGCAGGTAAGTCTAAGAATTTTTCTAAGTTGAAACATGGCATTATTGGGTTAATTGCTGTCTTTTCATAGTTCATTGGTATCCAAAACTGCATGAACTCTGTAGCAGTTGTCATTTTTGGTCTTAGGTGTTTACTATTCTCTTTAACTTTTTGAGAACCTCAACAAACTTCTATTTATGTGAGTTATACCTAGTGGTATTTATCATATTAGAAATTAAAATTTAAGAGTTAATTCATTTAAAAATAATAAACTTCTTATATATTAACACACAATACATGTTTTTTTTTTTTTAATAACTGTTCCCCAAATGAAAAGTTTTTAGCAAAAAGAAATGACATTGTTAAACATTTTTACTAATATTTTTAATGTCTGGCTTAAGAAAAGACAGCTATATACTCATCTACCTATGTAATCAGTCTTTTGTTTTGGTGGACATAACTGTGGCATGGACTCAGAGATAAGTTGGAAAAGGAAAGGCTTTTTTTTTTTTTAAGTTTATGTATTTATTTTTGAGAGAGAGTATGAGCAGGGGAGAGAGAGGGAGAATGAATCCTAAACAGGCTCAGCACTGTCAGTGCAGGGCTTGAACTTAAAAACCGTGAGATCACGACCTGAGCTGAAGTCAGAGTCAGAGTTTAACCAACTGAGCCACCCAGGTACCCTGGAAAGAATGTTTTAATAGACTTTCACATAGTTGTGGAAATTCTTTGATAACCACATCAAAATTTGATAGTGGTAGTTTCTCTCTCTCTCTCTCTCTCTCTCTCTCTCTCTCTCTCTTTTTAAGTAAACTCTACACCCAACCTGGGGCTTGAACTCACGAGTCCAAGATCAAGAGTTACATGTTCTATAGACTGAGCCAGCCAGGTGTCCCAAGTGGTAGTTTCTTAAAGGTTAATTGCAGTATAATGTTTGTAAGAACAAATATTTTATATTCTGTTACATTAACACCTGTTGATATATATTGCACTTTATTTTTTAATATATGAAATTTATTGTCAAATTGGTTTCCATACAACACCGAGTGCTCATCCCAAAAGATGCCCTCTTCAATACCAATCACCCACCCTCCTCTCCCTCCCACCCCTATATTGCACTTTAAATGGATCTTTTATCCATACATGATTTTGTAACATACAGTCATTTGGAAAATTGAGTTAATGAAGATTTTCCAAATGTTAATACATTGCATTATTCATATTAAAAAGCAATTACAGGGACTCCTGGATGGCCCAGTTGCTTAGGCGTCTGACTCTTGATTTTCGCTCAGGTCACGATCTCACGGTTCCTGAGATCGAGCCCCTTGTCAGGCTCTGCACTGACAGCTCAGAGCCTGCTTGGGATTCTCTCTCCCCCTCATTCTGCCCCTCCCCCACTGACACAGTTTCTTTCAAAATAAATAAATAAACATTAAAGAAAAATAAAAAATCACATTAACTAATGTCACCACTGATGTTATTAGAAATATCTTTAAATATTGGAAAGCTGATTAAGTAGATCTAAGTGTTTAGGTTTAAGATTTTGAGAATTCTAATTTTTGTTTGAAAGCCTAGATTTTAGCACCAGGAATGTATTTTTGGTTATTTTCCTTGAAGGGAAAAGGCACTTTTTGTTTATTTTTGAGGAAAGATACACAAGTCTAAATAACCACAATTTGTCAGGTTTTCTTTCAAGTATATGGTGGTGTTTGATGGGAAAAGCTATTACTTATTTCATGTTTTCTTCCAACCCCTGTACTTTGGTATGTAGCAAAAGTGCTACACATATACTCCTCATTTAATAATATTTATATTTCTGATTCATTAAGAGTGTTCTTAAGGAGAGGTTGTTCTGCATTTAATATGGCTATAAAGAGTATGACAGCTGCTTGTACACTTTGGTGCCTGCCACTGCTTTATTCGTGTTAGGCACCAGAAGTTTTGCCACCATTGCTTTTGTACCATCGATGTAGATGTCACACAGTAAAAAGGACAAATGAAGTCTTAGCATTGTTATGAAAATAGTTTTGACCTCATAGACCTGTGAGAGGTCTGTGGGCCAAATCTTGACAATATCAATTAGAATTAGAACTCATGGCAGACATGGTTTGGGCAAGGTTTTTCAGGGAGGTAACTAATAATATTGGGCTGTCACAAGATTGTGATGTGTTCAGTAAGTAACCTATGATTTTCTCTTACTATACTTAATTGGAAACTAGTCCTTTGAAATAGTATTATTTTAGTTTGTTTATAGGAATACCTTGGGATTAAATATGGTTCTCTAACACATAATTTTAAAAATTCTTTTTAAAATATGGTTATTTTATAATGATGATTTGGGTATTAAGATATGTGTGTCAGGTGTTTTGGCTGGCTTAGAAGCGGTTAAAATTTCTATTTAACTTTCGGTTTTTGCTCAAAAATTTTTTTCAAAGGTTTTATTAAAGGTATTATATCAGTACAAGGAGAAGCAATATATGGCTCCTCGAGTTTTACAGCAGACATTAAATTATATTAATCAAGGAGTTTCACATGCCCTCACCTGGAAGAATCTGAAGCCTCATATACAAGTAATAATTTTCTATCTAAAATGTTTTTCTGGAAAATATAATGGAAATAACATTAATTATCATAAATGTTGAAAAATGCATATTTTGTTGACTTATGTTAGTCTAGTTCTTTTAATTGTTTTGAGAGTATAGTAGGAATGAGACCATACCTTGACATAAACTTTTAAAAGGTACTTTTTTAATATTCAGAATTTTTTTAAATTTTCATTTAAAACTATTATCTTAAAGCTTGCCTTTAAATTCTTTTTTTTTTTTTAACTTGCCTTTAAATGCTTTTGGTTGGCTTAAGATTATAACATTTTAATTATATAATTTGGAGTAAGCAAAGGACTGCTTCACCAGATTAGTTTTGGGGATAATTAGCTTATATTACTATTTCTATGAGTAATGTATTTGCTTTATTACAACTACAGGATTTGATGGACTAAAATTTCATATTGTATTTTTCTCAGAATATTAATTGCTACCTATATACACATAAGTCTTATTTTACAATTACTTGTTTCACAAAGGGTAATAGTTGATCTGAGAATCATTACTAAAGTTTGATATTAAGCTTAAAATACATATTATAGGGTTGGTTTTGCTTTAGCACTTAAACAAAATTCGGGGTTTAAATTTGAAGACTGACTTAAGGTTACTTTTCTTAACTTTTAAATCGCAGGGCATTATCCAAGATGTTATTTTTCCCTTGATGTGCTATACAGATGCTGATGAGGAACTTTGGCAAGAAGATCCTTATGAATATATACGCATGAAGTTTGGTAAATTTTCACTTTCTTTGAAATAAAATGTCAGTAACTAAGTTTGTATAATAAACCTAGGGGAGTTTTAAGGCCTCATCTTTGGTATGGTACTGAAAAATCTTTATAGACCCCCACTTTTTGGGGTCTTTTCCTTAGTTATGGCATGATTGTCTTTATTTATTTATTTATTTGTTTGTTTATTTATTTATTTTAACCTTTATTTTATGAGAGACCGAGCATGAGCTGGGAAGGGGACAGAGAGAGAGGGGAAGTCACAGCTTCTGAAGCAGGCTCCAGGCTCCGAGCTGTCAGCACAGAGCCCGAAGCAGGGCTTGAACCCATGAACCATGAGATCATGACCTGAGCTGAAGTTGGCCACCCACCCAACCAACTGAGCCACCCAGGCGTGCCCCCCCCCCTTTTTTTTTATGTTTGTTTATTTTTGAGAGAGAGGAAAGAGACAGCATGAGCAGGGAAGGGACAGAGAGAGAGGGAGACAGAATCCAAAGCAGGCTCCAGGCTCTGCGCTGTCAGCACAGAGCCCGATGCCGGGCTCAAATTCACAAACTGTGAGAACTGAGATCATGACCTGAAGCAAAGTCAGACAACTAACCACTTGAGCCACCCAGGCACCCCAATGATCTGCATTTTTAACAGACACAAATATAGTAGTGTTACTGAGTTACAGTTTGTGGATGTGTTTCTGGCATATGCCAGAATTGTTGCAAATTCAAGATTACACCTTAATACTAAGTGCCTAAACTATACTTTTGGATCTCATGTCAGTCATCATATGTGTGGGAATTGAGAAGATGCATATTGGAAGCTGTATCACATGGAGTCTCTGCATGGAACTAAGGAATTGTAATTTGGCTCACGTTGAGTATTAGTTCTTCTTCCTACCAAAATCTTTTGTATTTGCAGATTATTCTTTTGTGACCATATTGTGGAAATTCTCACATTTGTAGTGTTTTGTATTAAAGAAAATAATCACTAGGAGAAATTGATGGATTAACATTTTAATTTGTACAGAAAAGACATGAAATTAAGCTGTTGCAAAATTATGTAGGAATCTGGGTTCATTTTCATACCTTGCATGTAGATTTAGACAACTTTTTTATTTACTTATATCACAGAATCTTATTTTTATTGATTTTCAACCATTTAAGAATGTGAAAAACAATTCTTATCTTATGGGCAGTAGAAAGACAGTTGATGGCCTGGATTTGGTCCAGGGCCATAGTTTGCCACCCTCATGTTGGAGATAAAGGAGATACAAAATGAGAGCGATTTGAAAGGCAGTGCTTATTTCTGCAAAGGTACTGTTGTAGCAAACTTCAGGGGACTTAAAAGTTAGCATTTAGAATAAACTTATCAGAATACCCATCTGACACCTTTTAAGGTCTGTTTTTTACAGAGCATCATTTGTAAATTTTGTGAAAATGTTTGTTGAAGAAACTGAAATTACTGGGTTTCGTATTAATTTTAAATTTATTCTTTAGATGTGTTTGAAGACTTCATTTCTCCTACTACCGCTGCCCAAACACTTTTGTTCACAGCTTGTAGCAAGAGGAAAGAGGTAGGTTGTTTAGGTAACTTTTGCTTTAATATTTAAAATTTGTTCAGGTGTATGCTCAGCTTTTAATGTTAGCCATGTAAGTCACTTTGTCTTTTTGTTTTTGTTAAGGATTGTTTGGAAATCACTTAAGTATTACTTTTCTTTTTTAATCTAGGTACTGCAAAAGACAATGGGATTTTGCTATCAGATTCTTACAGAACCGAATGCTGATCCTCGAAAAAAAGATGGAGCCCTGCATATGATTGGATCTTTAGCTGAAATACTTCTCAAGGTATTTCTTTTGTGTGCAAGTGATTTAGTAACAGTTTTATTAAGATACAATTCACATACCATAATGTCCACCCATTAGAGTGTATAATTCAGTGGGTTTTATTCACAGAGTTGTATAACCATCATCCACAAAAGTGTTAGCAGTCACATTCCATTTTTTTCCAGAGCTTTCAGCCCTAGGCTACCCCTAATCTACTTTTTGTCTTCTGTACAGGTTTACCCATTTTGGACATTTCATGTAAAGGGAATGTGCTCAATTAGGAGTAGGGCTTTTTCAGTTAGCACAATATTTTCAAAGTTCATATTGTGGCCTGTGTCAGTACTTCATTCCTTTTTGTTGCCAAATAATGTTCCATTGTATTGATATACCACATTGTATTTATCCATTCATCAATGGATGTCCATCAATGGATGGACATTTGTATTGTTTCCATTTGAAGCTGTGATCATTTATATACACGTTTTTGTGTGCATGTAATATTTTTACTTCTCTTGGGTAATACATACCTAGGATTCAAATTGCTGTCATATTTTGAGAAAGTGCCAGACTGTTTTCTGAAGTGGTGTATCATTTTATATTTTTATCGGCCATGTATGAGGGTTCCAGTTTCTATGTCCTCACTGATTCTTAGCAATCTTTTTTATTATAGCCATCCTAGTTGGTGTCAAATATTTCATTGTGGTTTTGATTTCCATTTCCCTGATGACTAACAACATTGAGAATCTTTTTTGATGTACTTATTGGCCATTGTTTATCTTCTTTGGAGATATTTTCAAATTCTTCACCTACTTTTAACTGGATTGTCTTTTCATTGTTGAATTATTAAGAGTTCTTTGTATATTCTAAATACTAGATGGTTTTTGTAATGATTTGCAGGTATTTCTGCCATTTTGTGGGTTATCACTTTACTTGATGCCCTTTGAAGTACAAGTTTTAATATGATTTTGAAATTATGTCCAGTTAATATTTTCTTTTGTTGCTTATGCTGAAGATACTTCTTTTTGTAGGAGTTATTTTCATATTGCAAGGTAATTGTAAAATAGTGGGGTTTTTCTCTTTGAAAAATTTATCTTTTAAGGAAATTTATAAACATGAATGTATCCATTTGCAAGTTAGGAACATCATGCTTTTTGTGACATAAATTTTCTAGTAAGTAATGACCCTGGGTTAGATTTATGTTTAAGAACCTCAGCTTAATTGTACACATTGTGTCTGGCTTCATAAATTTGAAATTTGTTTTTGGTTAAAAGCTAATAAATGATAACAAAGTTCAAGTAAATATTTAGTCACAGAATCATCCAACTCCCAGGAACCTTGTTCCATGTCACCATTTGTAGGTATATTTTGTGTATTTTTCAGCTTTTCTATATCTGTCTATCCATCCTTCTGTTAGTTTATAAATTAAAGACAATGGTTATTTGTTGTATGGAAGGCTGGGAATCTTGAGTGAGTGATCTTGGCAAGTTCAGATTTTTCTGTCTTTTTATTTTTAGGTAATTTTACACTCACTGAAAAATTGCAAAAATAGTTCTCATTACTTTTCCCCTAATGTTACCTACCATCTTAGATAGCCATCCACAATTCTCACAACCAGGAAATTAATGTTGCTGGGATACTATTCACTAATCTTACAGACCCCTTTCATGTTTTGCAAGAATTCCCTTTAATGTCCTTTTTTCTGGTCCATGACCAGTCCAGGATCCCACATTGCATTTAGTTCCCATGTCTTAGTCTTCAGTTCTTGAAGTTTATTAGTTTTTAATGTTGATGTAGTATGCAATTCCAGGAACTCTTAAAAGCTTGTTACCACTTAGAAAAGACCCTACTTTAAGACTAATGAGAGTCTTTTTAGATATCCAGATTACCTTGAAAGCAAGGTCTTTTCTCAGTGTATGTTGTATTCCTTTAGAGCTTTTCCAGAGAGGTTTTTTTCATTGTGATAGTTATTATAAGGTAAGGAATAAAATTAACCACACTTCCATCCTTCAAACATAATTACTGTTAAGATTTGGTGTAATTGTTTTCTAAGTAAATGAGGTAAAAAGATGAAAGAAAAGGTATTCTGTGTTTTTTGATGGTTACGTTTGAGAATGAGAAAATTAGATATTGATACTGAGGTACAAGGAATCAGAATAAATGTATGGTTTGACATCAGTAGTGATTTTTAACATTAGTGTATTTATTTGGTATTTAAGATGATTACATTTGGAATTCTTTCAAAAATAATTGTTGTTTATATTGACAGAAAAAGATCTACAAAGATCAGATGGAATACATGTTGCAGAATCACGTATTCCCTCTCTTCAGCAGTGAACTAGGCTATATGAGAGCGAGGGTATGTGTTAAAGCTGTATTAATTTATACATTTTTGTCTTGTAATGAATAACTGCTTATGTGGACTTTTATGTGGAAACTTTTTAATGCTCACCTTAAAAGCCATATTTCATGTTAGACTTCTGTTTCATGTAAGTATTTAAATGGCTGATATAATGTGTGCATAGTTTTCATCTGTGTCTGATAGCAGTGTCTGCCTGTGTTTTGCATTCAGATCTTGCTATCCACACAAACATCATGCAGCCAAAGAGTAAGTTGGGATCATAGTACTGGTCTAGTGTTGTCTCTTTGGACATCTCTACCACTGGCCAGCCTCCAGATTCCCACACAAAAAACTTTGGGAATAGAGGTACTGTAGCTTGTGGCAATTTAATATAGGATATCTATAGTAACTCATTGCATTTTTTTAAAAAGGCTTGCTGGGTCCTTCACTACTTTTGTGAAGTGAAGTTCAAAAGTGACCAGAATCTGCAAACGGCCTTAGAGCTGACTCGAAGATGTCTGATAGATGATAGGGAAATGCCTGTGAAAGTGGAAGCTGCCATTGCACTTCAAGTGTTGATCAGCAATCAAGAAAAGGGTAAAGGATTTTATCTCAAAAATAGTACAGTGTTTTGTTTTGTTTTTTTTTTTTTTTAATTTTTTTCTTTTCAACGTTTATTTATTTTTGGGACAGAGAGAGACAGAGCATGAACGGGGGAGGGGCAGAGAGAGAGGGAGACACAGAATCGGAAACGGGCTCCAGGTTCTGAGCCATCAGCCCAGAGCCTGACGCGGGGCTCGAACTCACGGACCGCGAGATCGTGACCTGGCTGAAGTCGGACGCTTAACCGACTGCGCCACCCAGGCGCCCCAGTACAGTGTTTTTATACATAATTGTACAAGGTATCTTAGGAACTTGATACCTTGGGAAGGTGCCTATGTTTATTCTTTGATATATATAAGGTTTTAAGGAGTTTTGTTTCCAATTTTTTTTCTCACAGCTAAAGAATATATCACGCCATTTATCAGACCTGTAATGCAGGCTCTTCTTCATATTATAAGAGAAACAGAAAATGATGATCTTACCAATGTAATTCAGAAAATGATCTGCGAGTATAGTGAAGAAGTTACTCCTATTGCAGTAGAAATGACACAGCATTTGGTATGTTTTTTTTGAACCAATCACTTATTCATTACTTACAACAAATATTTTCAGAGTGTACTGTGTATCAGGTAGTGTTCTAAGCCTCTGACATATATTTAGGCTCATTTAGTACTTTCACAGTCCTATGTGAAGAATATTCCTTTTTTTTTTTTTTTTAAGTTTATTGTGAGAAAGAGACTGCAAGCAGGGTAGGGACAGAGAGAGAAGGAGAGAGAATCCCAAGCAGGCTCTGTGGTGTCAGTGCAGAACCCGATGTGGGGCTTGAACCCATGAACCATGAGATCATGACCTGAGCTGAGATCAAGAATCTGTTCTTAACCAACTGATCCACCCAGGCGCCCCAGGAATATTCCTAACTGAGAGAAAGTGTGAACTATGAAAAGGTTAAGTAACTTGCCAAAGCTAGAACGGTGGATCTGGGATTCACCCTTCAAGTGTACACCTCCACAACACACTGGGGTGGGGGGCGGGGGGGGGTGTTTTTCTTTTTTTTTTTTCCAAGTCTATTTATTTTGAGAGAGAGATAGCATGAGTTAGAGAGAGGGAGAGAGAGAATCTCCAGCAGGCTCTGCACTGGCAGTGCAGTACTTGAATACCATGGAGCTTGAACCCACAGAGCTGTGAGATCATGACCTGAGCCAAAACCAAGAGTTGGACACTCAACTAATTGAACCACCCAGGCACACCCCTCCCCCCTTTTAAAAATATTTTGGAGATTGAGAGTGTGAGTGGGGGAGAGGGGCAGAGGGAGAGAGACAATGCCAAGCAGGCTACACGTTGAGGGTGGACTCAATCCCACGACCCTGGACTCATGACCTCAGCCAAAAAGAAATCAAGAGTCAGACACTCGGGGTGCCTGGGTGGTTCAGTTGATTAGGTGTCCAACTCTTGATTTCAGCTCAGGTCATAATCTCATGGTTCGTGGGTTCAAGCCCCAGGTCAGGCTCTGTGCTGACAACATGGAGCCTGCCTGGGATTCTATCTCCCTCTCTCTCTGCCCCTCCCACGCACATGTGCATGGTGCACGCGTGCTCTCTCTCTCTCTCTCTCTTTCAAAAGTAAATAAACATTAATAAAAAGAAAAGTCAGACATTCAACAGACTGTGTCCCCTAGGCACCCTGTGCATTATTAGCTATGACTCCACCCTTTACTTCTCAGAAGTTTCTTTGAAAATGATTGAATTTTATAACAAAAAACCTTGATTAATATACCTGTATCTGGGCATTGTTGAATGTTAGCCAGTAAAATTAATAAAAATACTCATAATATTAAGCACTTTCTATGCCTTGCCTCTTTTAATCCTCACAGTTCTCTATCATAAATTTCTCAAATGAGATGTTAGGTCAAGTAACTTTAAGATCACCTACTCAATGGCAGAGCCATTTGTTTGATTGTAGAGCCAGGCTCTTAATTATTATTAACCAGTTTGGTGATATTGATTGGTTTTTCTGTCCCAGTGAGAACATTTTAAAAATGAAGTTTTAGACCAAAATGTGTTTATACTGCTTTAATGGTAAGCCTAAGTTATATTCTTTTGAACCTAGGCAATGACATTTAATCAGGTAATCCAGACTGGGCCAGATGAAGAAGGAAGTGATGACAAAGCAGTTACTGCTATGGGAATCCTGAATACCATTGACACGCTTCTTAGTGTAGTTGAAGATCATAAAGAGGTAAGAAAATGATCCAGTGTTACAAGGTTTTGATTCAGGTTTTAGGGAATTTAGAGCCATTCTTCAACTGTACTACTGCTTTTGTTTCTTAATTATGATATACTACACATAACATAAAATTTACCATCTTAGCCATTTTTAAGTAAATAGTTCATTGGTTTTAAGCACATATTGTTGTGCTACCATTACCATCATCTTTCAAGTTTTCTTCTTATACAGTTGTCTTTTGGAAAGAGAATTGTAATCATGAATTTTTTTGTAATGAAATAATTTGGGGCACTTGAGTGGCTCAGTCAGTTAAGCGTCCCAACTCCTGACTCCTGACTCTTGACTCTTTGTCCCTGCCCAGCTCACATGCGTACTCTCTCAAATTAAATAAACTTCATATATTTTTAAAGTTTATTTATTCATTTTTGAGAGAGCAAGTGGGGGAGGTAGAGAGAAGATCCCAAAAAGGCTCCGCACTGTCAGTGCAGAGCCCAATGTGGGCATCAAACCCATGAACTGTGAGATGATGACCTGAACTGAAATCAAGAGTCGAATATTTAACTGACTGAGCCACCCAGGCATGCCCCTCAAATTAAATAAACATTAAAAAAAAATAAAAATGAAATAATTTAAAACATAAAGGATAAAGAACAGAAAAAAACAAAACCAATAATACCCTTTAACCACCACCTAAGTATATTAGATTTTAAAATTTCGTAGGATATCCTTTAAACTTTATTTCTTTTTTTTTTTTTTTTTTCAACGTTTATTTATTTTTGGGACAGAGAGAGACAGAGCATGAACGGGGAAGGGGCAGAGCGAGAGGGAGACACAGAATCGGAAACAGGCTCCAGGCTCTGAGCCATCAGCCCAGAGCCTGACGTGGGGCTCGAACTCACGGACCGCGAGATCGTGACCTGGCTGAAGTCGGACGCTTAACCGACTGCGCCACCCAGGCGCCCCTAAACTTTATTTCTAATAAGAAAGGCAATTTCAGATAGATGTAATCGAGGCCCTTGGGGTACCACTTCGCAATCTTATTTCCCTACTTCTTTCCCTTGGAAATAACCAGTGTCCTGAATTTGGTGTTTAGAATTCCAGTGCAGATATTTATATGCATAAATCATGTTTTTAGGTTATCTGTGAATTGCCTTTTGCAATATGAAATTTTTTGTAAGCTATTTATGTTCTATATTATAATTGGAAATAGGTAGAAGCCATGAGGAATTCTGTAGCTGCCTTATGGTTAACAAATCAGTTTTCACTATATATTTGAAGAGTTGAAAATGTTGTAAGTATATGTATTTGAAATGGGTGTCCTGGTTCTATACCCAATTAGTAAATTTTATTGTCTCGTCTCCCCACTTTTTAAACATTCTGATGCCTTCCAGGGATTTGGGATCTGATTGAGGACCATAATGACAATTAAAGAGCAATTTGTATTTTCAGTCTTTCTTAAATGGCTTGGGGCATGGTTCACTATATCTACTGTAATTACATAAATAGAGGTGACTTAAGCATTGGAGTGGTAGAAATAATGCCTTCTTTCAAATAATTTTGCTGTAAGCCACTGACAGTGATGTCTGGACTGCGATAATCTATATATAAACACAAAAAGGTCTGTAATCTATTTGCAAAATGATGTGGCTCCTTTATTTTCATAATTATTTACATTTTCCTAGGATATTATGTTTTCTTTTTTAGGTAAACTACACATTATTGCTCTTGTTTGTTTCATCATAATGGTATTTCATTAAATTTAAATTCCTTATTGACCCACAATTTTATGAGTCACTTCAAAGCAAAGATTTAAAATGATTTCTTAAAATACTATATATTTCAATAAGCAGTGAATTACATTTATGTTATTTAATAATTTATTCAGTGGTGTGGGACAGTTACATACAATTTGTTTTCTCCTCTTTCAGATAACCCAGCAGCTTGAGGGCATCTGCTTACAGGTCATTGGAACTGTTTTACAACAGCATGTCTTAGGTATATACCTCTGTGTTTAAAATTTGCTGCTTTTTTACATCAGCAAGCGTTGTCCTAATGACTCCATACTCTCTTTTAGAATTCTATGAGGAGATCTTCTCTTTAGCACATAGTTTGACTTGTCAACAAGTATCTCCACAAATGTGGCAGCTACTACCTTTGGTATTTGAGGTTTTTCAGCAAGATGGGTTTGATTACTTTACAGGTAAGTCAAGTCAGTAACTCGGTAGAAATACAGAGGATTTCCCCCAATTTGATTCATTTTTAGTATATAACTTAAACATATGCTTTTGAGTATTATAAGTGCTCCATTGTTTAGATGTTATCACTAGCAGTTAATGCTCAAGGACAATAACATTGATACCCATTTTATATTTGATTTAGTTATCCTTTTAGGTTTGTTTTCTTTAACACATATTCTCACCTTCCTGCCCCGTATTAGTCTTTTTTGTATAATAATCATCTTTGTATAATACAGACCAACTATAAGGGACCAGACAGTCTCATATTTGCTTTCTTTTTCTAAGGAGATTTTTTCAGAAACAAAGCATTTATATTAGTAAAGATATTTAAATTTTATTAATTTTTTGGTTTAATTCATTTTTAATGTTTTCATGCTTTTTATTAATACAGATATGATGCCTCTGCTTCATAATTACGTAACAGTTGATACAGACACACTTCTTTCGGATACCAAGTATCTTGAAATGATATATAGTATGTGTAAAAAGGTAGGTCATTTTTAGTAAATGTAAGGATATATTTCATTAGGCTGGTACTACAAAAAGTATGCAATTGTGAAGAATGAAGATACATGATACATTATGACAAATATATGGGTCTGACAGAATAAGGGCTTTAAAAGCTATAAACTACAAAAGACTGGGTTCTAGATGCCACAGTAATGGCTTTGACAAGTGTTTGTCTTCTGTCTGCCCTGACATTTAATTGGAGTTACAAATTTTTTTGAATTTTAGAGTGCCTGGAACTTACTTACCTTAGCCTGGTTCTTTGCTAGGCTTTGATTCAAAAGAAGGAAAGAATCAACTGATTTGAGAGGTACTTGTGAAAGGATCAGGAATAGTTAGAAGTGTTTATTACACAGAAAATTCTTGGAGGTTACAGGTTTATGGAGACTATACGGAAGTTGTTTAGTAAATAGCAAGATTGTAAAAGCCAAGGATTTTTTTTTTTTAATGTTTGTTTATTTTTGAGAGAGAGAGAGAGAGAGAGAGAGAGAGAGAGAGAGAGAGACAGTGTGAGCAGGGGAAGGGCAGAGAGAGAGGGAGACACAGAATCCAAAGCAAAAGTCAAGGATTTATTTAAAATGAAAGTCAAATAGTACTGTGCCATTTCTTGGAAAATCACAAGTAAGTGTATGGTGAATGTAACTTTTTTTTTATGTTTATTGATTTTTGAGAGAGAGAGAGCATGAGTTTGGGAGGAGCAGAGAGAGAGAAAGAGAGAATCCCAAGCATAGAACCCGATTCAGGGCTTGAACCCACAAACGGTGAGATCACGGCCTGAGCCAAAATCAGAAGTTGGACATTTAATGGACTGAGCCACCCAGGCACCCCAGTTAGTTTTATATAATGTTTTTCTTAAACAGAAGGTAGGGAATAAAATCTTTGAATTGGGGTCCTTCGTTATCAGTCAATATAATTGAGTAGCATTTGCAGTTCTATCAGTGTTGAGAGGCAGCAGGGTGTTTAATACCACGCATTTAAAAAAAATGATTTTAGGGGCGCCTGGGTGGCGCAGTCGGTTAAGCGTCCGACTTCAGCCAGGTCACGATCTTGCGGTCCGAGTTCGAGCCCCATGTCAGGCTCTGGGCTGATGGCTCGGAGCCTGGAGCCTGTTTCCGATTCTGTGTCTCCCTCTCTCTCTGCCCGTCCCCCGTTCATGCTCTGTCTCTCTCTGTCCCAAAAAAAAAAAAAAAAAAAAAAAAAAGTTGAAAAAAAAATAAAAAAATGATTTTGTTCTATGGCATTTTTTAGATGGGCTTGTCTCGTTGATCCTTTTCTTTTTGAACATTTCATCACAAAATCATTATCTGGTATATTATTATTTATTGCCAGTTACACAGTTTATGTTACTACTCTGGGAATATTGATATCCATACCATTTATTTGCCTTTTCCAGAAGTTATCCTTAACACTTCGAGTCCTCTAACGCTAACTAGCACAAGTCCAAAAATTTCTTGTCTGGGAACAGCATTTGCCATCAACAGGCTGCCTTTTCTTCTCTCTCACTTCAATGACACTATTTTTTATTTTGTGAGATTTATGTAGAGAAAAGGCTTTCCTAGCAATGTTAGCTTCTTAAAATTTATTATTTCTTTCTTTCTTTTTTTATTTTCACTTTACATAAGAGCCAGATATCCTTAAGAAAGGTATGGTGCTTTAGCTACCAGGGTTGTATGAGAAGATAGTAGTTTTCAACATGCAATAATCCAGAATGACACTATAGGGGAAGTGATTTGATTAGACCAGGAGGTAAGAGTGCTGAAATAAGACCAACCAGTAATTCCCAAATCCTCACTGTTGTTTTAGATTATAGTCTGTGTAATAAATATTGCAATCATATATATGAATTAGAATATCTTAAGAAAAACTCCAGAGACTAGACAGGGGACAGAGAAATTCCTTGATTTAAAGGTTTCATGATGACTCATTGCAGTTTTATATTCTGTATTGATCAGGTTCTTACAGGAGTTGCAGGAGAAGATGCAGAGTGTCATGCAGCAAAATTGTTAGAGGTCATCATTCTACAGTGCAAAGGGCGTGGCATTGACCAGGTCAGTGAGGCAATGATTAATGTTTCCTATCTGAGTCTTCAGAGAGATAATCTTTCCCTCCAGTTTTTTTCTTTTGGGGTATTTTTTGTATATTTTGTATGTTATTATTTATTATGACACTGTAGATAACATTTTTTTAATTGTTGGCTTAAAGTTAATATATAATGATCATATATATGTTTAGTATGTCTGAAAATATGACAAGTTTTATGGCTACTTGTTATGCAGAGTGAGATTTTTTTTTTAATAGTATGCTGTGGAGTATTGTTTGCCACATTATTACTTCGCAGTAAGAAAGATTTAGTTGTTAAATTTCCATGGTCAGTTTCAGTAGGAGTTTTTTTTCCAGCTCTATTGATATAATTCAAACATAATGTTATATAAGTTTAAGGTGTGTAATATGATGAATTGATACACATATATTGTGGAGTGATTACTACAATAAGGTTATTAGTAAGAATATTGTGAATCCACCTGGCTATTGTGGTGAGGCTCAGTGAAGATTTGTCTTCTCTAAAGGTAGATTTCTCAGTGAATCCCTCAACAGTATAAACTATTGGGTCATCCAATGGGGATAAAAAGAAGTTGGTTGAGGCAACAAGTTAATATGGGTAGGATGGTTAGATTACTATTAACAGTTTTGGAATATTTTGCTCTTTATAGTGCATTCCCTTATTTGTGGAAGCAGCTTTAGAGAGACTGACAAGAGAGGTGAAGACAAGTGAACTTCGGACAATGTGCCTGCAAGTTGCCATTGCAGCTTTGTATTATAATCCACATCTCCTTCTGAACACTTTAGAAAATCTTCGTTTCCCTAATAATGTTGAACCAGTTACAAATCATTTTATTACACAGTGGCTTAATGATGTTGATTGTTTCTTGGGGTAAGTGACATACATTGGATCTTTGTTTATTTAACTTGGTGAGAAACTCTGCTTATTAAAAAAAAGAAAATATTTTGTTTATTTTTTAGGCTTCATGACAGAAAGATGTGTGTTCTGGGCCTGTGTGCTCTTATTGATATGGAACAAATACCACAAGTTTTAAATCAGGTTTCTGGACAGATTTTGCCAGCTTTTATCCTTTTATTTAATGGATTAAAAAGAGCATATGCTTGCCATGCAGAACACGAAAATGACAGTGATGATGATGATGAAGCTGAAGATGATGATGAAACCGGTAAGGAATTTGTGGTGGAGGAAGCCAGACTTACCGACTTCGAAATATCATTGGACTTGTTTTTTAGCCTGTCTCCTAAAGAAATATGGATCATAGCCAAATGCTTTCATGTTCATTCATTCATAGAAAGACTGCCTTATCTTCCAAATAGAGTAAGGTGTATGAAGGCAGGAACTTTGGATAGATCTCCAACATGTAAAGCAGTTCTAGGCATTTATGGTTTTTAGTGTGGGCAAACATTTATCGTCTGTTAGCGCTAACACCTAAGTATACCTACGCTATAAAATTAAGTCAATTAGATGTTGGCTAATACATTTCATCTGTAGAACACTAGACTATAAGAGTATAAATTGATAGAAAGTTGGGTAATGGTTTAAAAAAAAAAAAACTCCCAAAAGCTACTCTATGGATATAACATAAACTGTAATTTTTTTATTGGTATTTGGTTTGGTATATACCATAAGTTCCAGAGAACAATAAGTGCTGAATCTCATATTATGTAATCTTTTTTCAGACCTCTAGTATTAAGAATTGTGGTTGGGTTTCTTGGGATTTCTATGAGAAATTTTTTATTCTAGGGGCGCCTGGGTGGCTCATTCGGTTAAGCATCCGAGTTCAGCTCAGGTCATGATATCACAGTCCGTGAGTTTGAGCCCCACCTCGGGCTCTGTGCTGACAGCTCAGAGCCTAGAGCCTGCTTCGGATTCTGTGTCTCCCTCTCTCTCTGGCCCTCCCCCATTCATGCTCTGTCTCTCTCTGTTTCAAAAATAAATAAACATTAAAAATAAATAAATAAAATTAAAAAAAAAATTTTTTTATTCTATTGCTGATTTTATATATATACATATATATATAATTTGTTTCATTATTTTGAGAGAGCGTGCATGTGAGCAGGGAAAGGGCAGAGAGAGAGAATCTCAAGCAGGTTCTGCACTGTCAGCACAGAGCCTGACACAGGGCTTGGTCTCACAAACCATGAGATCATGAGCCAAAATCAAGAGTTGGACACCTAACCAAGTGCCCCTGTTGCTGAGTATTTAAACGCTACTTCCTGAAACTTGAATTTATTCAATTGTGATTTGTAGTTTATTGACTGTGGTCACTGTCACTTTGTTGAGTAACAGAATACTGTTAACAAACGCACCTATTTATGACTCTGTGGTAGAGGAACTGGGGAGTGATGAAGATGATATTGATGAAGATGGGCAAGAATATTTGGAGATTTTGGCTAAGCAAGCAGGGGAGGATGGAGATGATGAAGACTGGGAAGAGGATGATGCTGAGGAGACTGCTCTGGAAGGCTATTCCACAATCATTGATGATGAAGATAACCCTGTTGATGAGTATCAGATATTTAAAGCTATATTTCAAAGTAAGTCAACTTTTATATGTAACTCAGCTAGGTCTATATGATCCATTTTCCTGAATCCATCTGTTCTTGTTTGTGTCTGTCACTTAAAGAAGGGATTTAGGTATATCAAACCCAAACTAGAATATGATTTAGGGATTGGTAGCTAAAGTATACAAAGTTACTTCTACTGTTACCATAGAGTTTCAGAGTATTGCCTCATTTTATTATTTTACTTTTATTTAGATTGTCACGCTGAAACATGCACATTATAAGAAAATGGTGTAGTTCAAAGTTTATACAATGACAGTTCCTCTTTCCCACTTCTGATTCCTAGCCTTTCAGCATTTTCCAGAGGTATCCACTCTTACATCTGTTTGTTGTGTGTTTGTGTATTTGTGTGTCTTTCTTTTTCCTGGCCAAAACCATAATGAACTTTGGAGAATTTGACCATTTTTAACATTAGTGGTCTTAGAATCCCTTTTCTTTTTTCCTGTAGCACATTGTATGTGGCTTTACCATCTTTTACTTGGACTTCAACAAAATATAACATCAGTGTTCCATCCAGCTTAAGAAATTCAAATTGGCACTATATTTGAAACACCCTTTTCTCCACAGTTGACTATGTTGACTGTCAGTTCTATATATTATGAGAACTTTGATGTAGAATAAATTTTCTGATAACCAAGGCATTACTCTTCCAATCCCATGACAAAGCATTTTTGATACAAGGTTACAGAAACACAATAGCTTTTCAAGTTGATCATTTTCAAGTTGCTTTTAACTCTGAATCTTTTATTTTATTATTATTATTTTTTAATGTTCATTTATTTTTGAGAGAGACAGAGCATGAGTAGGGGAAGAGCAGAGAGAGAAGCAGACACAGAATCTGAAGCAGGCTCCAAGCTCTGAGCTGATAGCACAGAGCCCAGTGTGGTGCTCAAACCCACGAACTGTGAGATCATGACCTGAGCCGAAGTCAGACACTCAGCCGACTGAGCCCCCAGACACCCCTAACTCTGAATCTTTTAAATGGTTGAGGTACTTGTAAAGTTTCCCTACTCTATTACTTAATTATATAAGACCTGGTTTCAGTTCTGATTCTTTATTTGCTTACAGATATAAATTATGAGAATGATTAGATTTTTTTGAGGCATAAGCCAAACCAGAATTTTTCCTCCCTATCACAAATAAAGTAACTTCACTTATTATTGGGAAAATATAAAGTAGATCAGAATGTCGGTATTGGAGGTGAAGTAGAAGGAACAGAATAGAAAGGAACTACCAGGCCTCTCATAATTTCCCTTTTTCCCCTTGTTTTCTTTTTGATAGCTATACAAAATCGTAATCCTGTGTGGTATCAGGCTTTGACTCATGGTCTTAATGAAGAGCAAAGAAAACAGTTACAGGATATAGCAACTCTGGCTGATCAAAGAAGAGCAGCCCATGGTATGTCAATTGACCACAACCCCTCTTTAATGCAATTAATGACTTGATAGAGCTCTAAAATCTTTATATTAAATGATATAAAATTATATAAAAGCTACAATTGTTGCAGGTGATAGAAATTCTGAAGGAAGGAAATGTGAAGGAATGAAGAAATGAATTGTTTTTACCCATAGTGCACTGATTTTAAGTGTAATTGGAGACTACTTTCAGTATACAATAGCTTTGATAAAGTTGCTCAAGCTTACGGTGATGGCTTGATAGTAGAAAGTTCTATTAAAAGTGTAAACAAGTTTTTAGGTTATGAAAACTATGCATTTTCTTAGAAATATATTAAAGGAAATCCCAGACATCATCACATCTTAGCATCTTTAAACATTTCAGTATGCATTTTAGAAAAGGACATTTTAGATAATATATAGCCTAACAATTTTCTGTAGGTTTTAATACCATTAACCAAACTAGTTTAATATAAAAAGAAGTATCCTCCTTATAGAGAAAGCATAGCTTCTTATTAAGGTATTTTATATTTGGATTTGCCAACACTAGATTCATTGGCTGTTACTCCCTTTGAAGACTAAATCCTGATTTAGTATTTGACTCAAAAAGGTTTATTAAAAAAATTTTTTTAACATCAGAAAGTGAAAGTTGGCTAATGTCTATAGCATACAACAGTAGAGTTTATCTTCTCCATATAATGTACCCCTCTTTTATTTCTATGTAAGAGAAGGGGGAAGAGGACAACTTTGGAACTTCCTAGCTAATACTAGTGGGTTAATAAGCTTTTGTTAATGTCTGTCAGTTTCTTCTCTTCTTCAAAGTAGTAAGAAGATCAGATACTCTATTAAACGTCCACGTACTTGTTTTTTTAGAATCCAAAATGATTGAGAAGCATGGAGGATACAAATTCAGTGCTCCAGTTGTGCCAAGTTCTTTCAATTTTGGAGGCCCGGCACCAGGGATGAATTGAATTATCACTTTGTTTCCTGCTGTGTGATTGTAGTGAAGAGCTTGTGTTCCTCCTAGTAGCGGTTCCAGAACTGGTTCATGTTATCTACTCTAAACTAATTGATCAATAGACGGACAAAAAAACCCAGGAGGTGGGACCTGATCATGCAACTTGGCACTGAAAAAGAAACCAGAGGGATTTCAGCAGGGGGGAGGGGGAGGGAGGTAATTTGGGGGCTGTATTTTCTTTATTTTTTGAAGAAAGTAAGATTCTGACTGAAAGTTCAAGTGACACTGTGGAAATCTGAAACGAGGGGATGTCATGAAGGCAGCTTTTCTTTTTCTGAGGAAAAAATAGGCATGGGCTACAGGACTATTTAAAATGTCTCATTTACAGTATAAGCTCAAAGGTAGATGTAATTTTTATACCTATGAGTATTTGTCCGATTTCTGTCTCTTCCTCACCATTGGGTATCTATTCTTTATATGTAAATAAGATAAGGTAATCGATAGCCTTATTCAATCTTCATCATTTTCATTCATCAAAGATTGTTCCTATGTAGATTATTGAACATTTATTGTAGCACTACATAACTGATTAAAACAAATCTGTAAATGAATTAGCACTTTCATATTGAAACAAGCCTGCTAGCCTATGTATAAAATAGCAAAATGTTTGCTGTTTATAAAAAGAAGGGATGTAATGGGGTGGGGGGCAGGGGTAATTTCAAGTTATTAATTTAAAAATGAACTAGCAATTTTGTACCTGGTGACTTTGTGGTGCACTCACCTCTGATAGTGACTTGAATTCGGTATGTTAAAAGGGGTTAGTGATATTTCATTGCTGCTAAAAAATGGCAACTCCCTCTGTGTCCTGTTTTTTCTTAAAGCTCTCAGTGTACAAGTGGATACTTGGATACAAGACCTTACTGTATCAAATAAGAAAGGTGATATTTGAAGCATGTAAATTGGATATAAAGTTCTACTCTTAAAGAGTTGATAAAAGAGTATGGTTAAACATCTATATATGCAATCTATTAAAAGAACTTAATTCGGCTATTATGTCTTGATTTGATTGCAGTTTTTTCCTAATTATAAAACTTTTTCCTTATTGGCCTGTTTTTATCCTGTACCTGGAAACAGTGCAAAATGCACACTTCTAAAATTTAACATTTAATACCTGCCCATATCCCCCTCTCCTTATCTCTCCTACCCCTCTTGTTGATTGTGGTATCTGATCTTAGATAGATAGGCTGAAGGCACACGGTTCCCTCCAAAAACCACTATTGATACCACTGCAAAAACAAGCCAGCAACAAAGACAATGGAGAGGTTGGCTTGCTTCCCTCTCTCCTAACTGCATGTTCAAAAATAAGCCTTTATTGATCTTGAACATCTGTCAGATGAGTCATACATTGGGTTATTTTTTTATATACATGTATACACACAATATTTCAAATTGAAAGCAACATCTCAATGGATTCAAAACTATTAAATGCTGTTGTCTATAACAGACTAGGAAATTTATAATTGTAAAAATGAAACAAATGCACATATTGATATTTAAAACGCGTAATGAAGAAAACCCATTGGTGTTGTGCTTTTCTTGTATGCCAATAATTAAGCCACTACTGTTGGCACTGTGTGGTTTTCTATTTTAACACTGAAGGAGTGAAAGTATTTCCTATATTTATGAATTTACTATGAAAATCTTGGCAAAAAAAGAAAAAAAATTGTCTGTCTAAAATGTGTGGGTGAAAACTGTTAATCAAGTGTGTTTCTACTTTTTTCCCCCAAGTTGGACACCATCTGTATACCCTAGGTTGCTTAAGGGGATTTCACTATTATATAAAAATCAATAAAACTAAAATGGAGTAGTTGTATATATGCAACATTGTGTACAGAGGGGATATATTGAATAGTATTAAACATTTTCGTCTTCCTTTACCTTTTATCCCTTAATATCTAGTCTACTTTTTTAAATTTCAGACTTCAATGCTCTTTGAATTGATAATTCCAATTTTCACATTGTTATTGGAAAACCATATCTAATAAAGGTTTTAGTTATTCCCATGCACAGTATGAAAATTCTCATTTGCTGAGCTTTTATTCCAAGAAAACGTATTGTTATGTCTTTGAGAATTTTTATTGTCTCCTCTGTCATACAATCTAATCTCCATTTACAGATTTTAATTGAAAGTAAAGAGCTTAAAATTAAATTACGTGAATATTAACTAGTACTCCAGTGTTAGTTTCTAATGTATCAAATATATATATCTCAGTTATTCACAGTATTTCCTTAAATTTAACATCAAATTATAGTTGTTGTGTTTTTTTTTTTACAGATTATGCACCTTGGTATTTGTCAGTGCTTCTGGACAAGGTTGTAGAACTTTGGATAACTTTAAGAGTATTTACAGACTTGTAATTGGTTGCATGTAGATAGTATTTATTCAATATACAGCCTTTTCCACAGTTTTGCTAACCTATAACTTAAGCTTTTTAATTTCTAGAAGTTAATTATGATTTGGTTTAGGTTTCAATTTTTGTTTTGTTTAACGGCTTTCAGCGAAAGCATAGAAACTTCACTTTTTGGTAAACTTAAACCATCTATTTTTTAAAAATATATTCATTGATCATTGTTAAAAAAAAGTTAATCTGTTTCTCTCCAGGTATAAATGGTGATTACTAAGCTACACACCTTATCAAGATAGTGATTGCTGTGCTCACCTCTGGAAAAGACCAGAGTGTAGAGCAGGGGTGGCCAAACCACAACCCTATGACTATATGCCTTTATTCAGCCCAGATGTAGGCCCTGAAGCAAGCATGAAGAAAAGGTCATTAAGAACTGTATTAATAGGACTAAACCACATCTTTGGGAAGATCTAACACAATGCCTTAAGCATAGTAGGCATTCCATAAATGTTTGTAAAATGAATGACCTAAAATTACATTAAAACCTATCCATTATAAAAATGTCAGTTTTGTTCTATATACTTTTAAGTTCTGGTGAAGATTATCTGTGAATCTTTATTAGCATGCCTAAATTCTAGATTTTTACCCTTGATGAGGTTGGCCACTCTTGGAATTGCACTTTGGTGCTTGTGGTTCTTACAAAGGGAAACTAGATACCCAGCTAGAAATCCGGGATTTTATCAGTATGTAAGGGGAAAGTATCTTTTAAGTAACTTCTTTGTGAAGTAATCCTCCCTTTCTCGGTTTTTTTAAAGCATAGGTGATCATATATACGTCTAGATTTTGCTTTCGTGTATAGATTGAAATTTGTCAGTTACACTCAATATTTGAATCCTATATTTAAATGCTTCCTATCTGAGTCTTAAAAGATTTTTTTTTTCTTTTTGAGAGGGAGTGCATGTGCACACGCAAGCAGGGCAGAGGGAGAGGGAGAGAGAATCTTAAGTAGTCTCCACCACAGTGCAGAGTCCAACATGGGGCTCAGTCTCTTAATTGTAAGATCATGACCTGAGTCAAAATCAAGAATCAGACAATCAACTGAGCCACTATCCAGGTGCTCTTTAAGAGTTTTTAGGGGCACCTGGGTGGCTCAATCGGTTAAGTATCCAACTTCTGCTCAGGTCATAATCTCATGTTTCATGGTTGTTCAAGCCCTGCATTGGGCTCTGAGTTTGAGTTGACAGTTCAGAGCCTGGAGCCTGCTTCAGATTCTGTGCCTCTCTATCCTTCCCCTACTTATGCTTGCTCTCTCAAAAATAAACATTAAGAAATAAAAGATTAAAAAAATCGTTTAATGAACTAAAGCTAGAAATACAAGGGAACTCCTCAACCTGAAAAAAGGGCATTACCAAAACTCCTTTTTTTCTTAATTTTATTTTTATTTATTTATTTATTTATTTATTTATTTATTTATTTATTTATTTATTTTTGAGAGAGAGAGAGGGTGCAAGCAGGGGAGGAGCAGAGAGAGGGAGACACAGAATCCAAAGTAGGCTTCAGTCTCTGAGCTGTCAGCACAGAGCCCAATGTGGGGCTTGAATTCATGAACCATGAGATCATGACTGAGCCGAAGTCAGATGCTTAAGCTACTGAGCCACCTAGGTGCCCCTCAAAAACCTTTTTTAAAAAGCTAATTAAAGGACCTAATGATGAAAGGATAAAAACTACAATCAAGAACCAGACAAGCAAGTAACCTGTTGCCAATTCTGTTCAACATTTTACCTGAGATTGTGTAGCCAGGGCAATTAGGCAAGAAGAAGAAATAAAAGCCTTTCAGATTGGAATGGAAGAAGTGAAACTTTGCAGATGACATGATCTTATAGAAAACTTATAGGAATCCACATATAGAAAAGAGCTAAGGGCTTAATCACAGTTGCAAGACACAAGATTAATATTCAAAAAAACCCCTTATATTCCTATACAATAGCAATGAAAATAAAATTGCATTTATAATAGCATCAAAAATTTAGCAAAGCTGAACATAAAGTCTATAAACGCTGTTGGAAAAAGACCTAAATGGAAAGACCTCCCATATTCATGAGTTGAAAGTATCATGATGGCAACACTCCCCAGATCTACAGATTCTGTGTAATCCCTAAAAAATCCCAGCTACTTTTTTTTTTTTTACAGGAATTGACAAAATAATTGTAAAATTGTATGGAAATGCAAGGGACTCAACCATGACAGTGGTACTGGTGTAAGAATAGACATTTTATGCTGACTGATGGAATAAAGTTGAGAATACAGAAATAAAACTAAGTTTATAGTCAACTGATTTTTGACAAGGGTGCCAAGACCATTCAATATGAAAATAATCTTTTCAAGTGATTCTGAGACAGCTGGGTATGTACCCTCACACCGTACATAAATGTGGTTAAAAGATTTACATATAAGACCTCACTCAAACTTTGAAACTCTTAGGAAAAAATGCATTAATCTTTGTGACTCTGAATTAGGCAATGGTTTCTTGGATCTAACACTAAAGCACAAGCAACAAAAGGTTAAAATAGGTGACTTGAACTTCATCAAAATTTTAAACTGCTTCAAAGTGAAAAGACAACCCAGAGGACCTTTACAACTCAACAACAAAAAAACCCCAATTGAAAAAATGGGAATCCTGGGTTGCCTGGCTGACTCAGTTGGTAGAAGATGCGATTCTTGATCTTGGGCTCAGGAGTTCAAGCCCCATGTTAGGCACAGAGCTTATTTAAAA